AACTAAATTCCTTATAAATAAAGTGAAAGTGGCATATAAAAACGGATCAAAATACTAAATTAACCAAGACCAGTCTTACCGTAAGTGTTAGGTTGCACTTGCATTTATGCAAAATATTTTATTTGGTATAGTTTTTTACTCTGTCATCAATGTAATATGCAATAAATAAGCTTCCCATTAGAATTGAGTATGAAAGGCAGTCCAGCTCAGGTGTCCTGCTAAAGCACATTGAAAGTCACTCAGATTCAAGAAATTGAAGTCGCTTTGAAAAATATCACGGGTGAAATAAATCAACTGTGTAGAAAAAAGGGAATAAAGTAAGTGAAGAAAAACAATTGCCAATACAGATTTATTTTTCCTTTTTGTGTTTTGATAAAGGTTTTATGATAAGAGACAATACAAGGGAGCAGCAGACAGACTGACAAGTCTGGAACAAATATTCTGAGAATGCCGTCCACATATCAACGATCTGTATAGGAAATAAAACATATCGGGTACAATATAGTATCGGAAGAAAGAGAAGAAGATCATGTATGAAACCCAGGCCAATAATTCGAAAATTTCAACTAAATGAGAAGGGCATGAAGAAATGTTCCCTGCAGAAAACTGACTTGGCATTTGACAAAGAGGATAAAGTTGTAGAAGACAAGGGGTGTAATGAAAGGTAGAGGCGAGTGACATTTTCAAGTATACCGAGAGAAGGAGCTGTGACTTCATCCAAGAATGCTGGAATTTATCCGATTACTCCCTGCGGTGCAGATTTAAATTATATACCTTTTGTCAGTGTAGATTGGAGGGATTGCTGTCGTTAAGTGGGAAGGTAAATAACAGCTTTTGTAGAGGACACAGTTGCTAGCATTCTCGCAACGGGACACGTATTCAAGGCTGTGTGGAAAAAAGTATAAAATGACGAAGATCTATGGACTTATTCCAGAATGTGCAGACACAGGTTTTTTGATAAAGATCTGTGTGTGGAGACAATTGAGTCCAATGAAGATTCAAATTGGAAACAAAGTGGTTGAGGACTGTGAACTTTAAGCATCAAATTTCCACAAATTGTCCTCCAGAAACCCCACTGGTTAACAGTTTTTGGATTTTGCTCAGCCTTTTTCAGTGTGGTGTTCTGTCCCATTAGTAGTTTATCTGATTGCATTTATGTAACCAGGACAGTTGAACGTACACCCACACAAGCTGCCCCCAGGCCTCCAAGCATAGCCCGGGGGTGTTTAACAACATATTAAAGGAGGACTTGGCAGATTTGTGCGCAGAAGTGACTAATGGACTCATTTCATGTGTGAAAAATGTGTGTTGTCCGCTCTGGACTTGACAACACGTCACAAAGACTCAATGATCCTCTTGGCAGGAGTTGACAGGAAGCCTTGTTGAAGAAACTGCTGGATTGTCAGGACCAGATGGAATACTTGACTGCAATCATTCAAGAAAGGTCCTGTTCAGTAAGAGACATCACAGATTAAAGCAATGACCAAGTACAAGAGTCCTAAAACCAGCCAAGCAAGTTTTTTGGGGGCTAGCAAGGTAACGTTTGGTTAAGGCAGATGGTTCTTTCAACATTGTAAAGCCTCTCCAGGCCAAGAACAGAGTGAACCACAAGGTTGCATAGTAACCATAGTTTGTTGAGCATCAAAAGATTGCTGCAACAAGAGCCCACCAGCTCTCCAATTTTCTGGCTTATTGCAAACTATTTCACTTGTTTGTGTCATGCTGACAGGGACGTCCCTGCAGGGTGATGCGGATTACTGATTATTCCACAGCGATGCAGATTACTGATTATTCCACAGTATTGTCCTGAATGTAGAAGCCTTTTGGTGGCTGCTTACCAGTTTTATGAAAAAGCCACTGCTGACAGTGGGTCACTTTCCTGTGATTTAATTGCATCACAAATGGATCGTTTTGATTCTGACAGAACAATTTGTCATTTTAAAAAATCGAAATCATAGGAATCACGGATGTCATGGATTTCATGATTTCGGTATGCAAGATTTGCAATCCATCTGATTTTACTCCCACATATGGGAGAGCTCACGTTTCTGTCAAGTATGAGTCCATCTCCCTAATTCATGTCTGTGAGCACGGTGATGCTGCAGAATGGAAAACGGTGCGTGGAGTTGGACCTCATAACTGATCATTTAGAGGTTCTGGTGATGGAAGCATGCCCAGAGCCATGTTCAGCCCAGTTGGCTGAACCAAAGGCATTAATACAGGCTTGTGATCCAACCAATGGAAAAAGTGCTGCCATTTTTGTGGATTTGAAATTTATATATTTATACTTCACTATGTGTTTGAAATGTGGTGAGTGTGTGATGCAAAAGTTAGGAGTTATTATGGTAAAGTTGGGAATTAAACATATATAAGCTGTGATATACTATCAAAGTTCATCAGGCATGATGGGGCATACATATCTAGAGATTTCCTAATAGATGAGGATCTACTTTAGCGTACATGCATGGAATATGGAAAGCACAGACATGGAAAGGACACAGAAAAAACGGGCTGCGTGAGACAGAGATGGTGGTTCTTCAGTGATGGACTCACTAATTTAACTCCGCATTCACAATAATCGACAGCCCAAGCAATTATTTTAAAATCACAAGCAAAACTTACTGAAACAAGAATTTGCCAAAAAAAAAGTAGAAAATAAACTGAAAATAAACTACACTGTGCTTTCATTGCCAACTGAGTGCTTGTACTGATTATGCCCTTTTGAAACAGTTAAAGTAAACATATATTTGCAGTTTTATTCCCCAAAATATGAACAAATTAGTCCAAACTTTAGCATCCAACAGCATACAAGTTTGGACAAATGGATTTGTGTAAACAAGAGGGTACACACATGTGATTTCATCTCACATGAGTAATATAGGGCAGATAATTAGATTAATAATCTTAGATACT